GAAGGAAAGGTTACTCCCCGTTTCCATCAAGCTCTCTATCACAGTAAATTAACTTTTAATGTATTAGTGGGATGGAGATGTGGAAAGTATGTATCTGCTAAATTTGAAACTTAATTGCATTCAGATTACGAATTCTGGCAATCGCTCAGGTCCATGTCCTAAAGAGCATTTGCAGAGATACCATTTGTAAAACACTATTTTATGTGATATAATCAGTTTTAATAGGGCTGCTGAGAAAGTGACACCATTAGATTTCAGGGATCTGTATGTAATAATTGTATCTCTGTAGGAAGCATAAAGTTTAATAATTCAAAGACTAGAATCAATTAGGCACTCTAGGTTGGATGTTATGCAAATACAGAACAAACACAAATAAGTACAAACCAAAGCTATATTGGTTTTGGAAATAAATGGTGAAATTGCTTTTTGTTTTGTTTTGCCACAATTTCCCAGATCCATTTTCCACTGAATTAAGTCCAACCCTATAGCCATATGAAGTGAACATACTTTATGAATCTCTTTAGTGTTTTCACCAGTATCTAATTACTGACTATAGAGTTTTAAGTTTCTTATTAAATATAAAACTAAATCATATATTTATGACTTAGAGAATGTTAAACGTACCAAAAATTAGTCAGTGTTTGACACACACATGCATGCAAACTTATGTCATGTTATGAAAGCACTCAAAATATATAAGGCATCTGAATAACTTTGAAACTCTTAAAATACCACATGCACATCAAACATTACTGGAACTTTTTAAAATAGTCACTATAGTTTATATATATACACACACATATAATTATATGAATAAATAGACAAATTCAATATTTTCTATCACTGGGTAGAGTAGCAAATAGGAGTTCTTTTCTCAGTTTTAAGTCTTTAATAGATGAATAGCCATAGGGAACACACACAACTGCTCCAAGACTTAGTTTCCTCCTCTGAAAAATGAAGGGATTGAATGAAGGGATTGCATAAATCACTCTGACTCTAGACTCTGTGATGTTAAGTCTGTATGTCCTTGTGACTCAAATAGTAAAACCCCCTTATGGTGAATTTCATACAAGCTTTACAATTTTTTCTCAAAATAAAAGTTAGAAGGAAATTCAATAGTAGGATTCACTTATTGTTCCCATAGAACCTAGAGACAAAACAGCCAAAAGCGATGGATTATTAAGCCAAAGAAAGCCTTGGAACCCTTTAATAAAAGGATGGAACATCAATTTCCTTCTATCTCAGTCTGTCTTCTTACAAGCTCCTAGATGCTCCTGTATAGTGGGTGCTCTGGGAATTCAGGTGTGTTTTCCCAGTAAGAGTTGAAATACAAATGAGGCAAGAAAGCAAAAATGGAAGGATGGTCATTAGTTGATATTATTGACAAAAGAATTTGAGAACTACATTTGGGTGTGATATTAGCTCTACAATGCACACGGCACACAAACAAGCTATTTTGACAGTGTGTGAAAGAGACCAAGAAAAGCATTTATAAAGAAGCATTCAGAGTATAGAACCTGCAGAAGACTGTGAGCCATTAGCAAAAGCGGAGAAATAACTCTGTTGTGGCAAACTCTTACTTGCAATGGTTTTCTTCTAATTACACATTTAATTATAAATGCTCCCTTACCTGGCTGAGACCTGCCTGGCCTGGCCATCTGTAGGGGTTACCCCTAGCACCCACTGGCTGTGTGTAGGAAAAGTTAGAGCATGTCTGCAGAGAAGAACAGATGGGTGCATTTGCCCGTAGGCAGTTCTGTCTCCCCAAAAGAACCAGCTTGTCCTGGCAGAAGGGTTTAGCAAATGAGCTGAAGGAAGACAGAGTAAAAACATCACCATTTCTCCCATCACATGCATAACTGGAAGCTATATGCTTTAGTCTTCTTAATTACAAAAAGCCAGTAAACAAGTAGCATATCTATAGTTTTCTGTAACCAACTGAGAATGACTTTTATTAGATTTCATGGTTAATGAACTAAGTATCTGGGAATTAGTGAGGGGTATCTTTATTTTACTATAGAACAGCTAAAATAAGACAAATTTGGCCATGAATGCTACTAAAAGCCTTTCAAAAAAACATCCCCTGCACTAACCAAAGTTTAACCCATGACGAAGACAATGGTTTACATACAAAATAAAACAAAATTTAAGCAATTACCTAATTATTTTTGTCAAAGACATCACCTGAGCTGCTTAGAACACCAACATTTGCTTTTTTTCCTCTCCAAATCAGGTACATACTATGGAAAATCCAGGCAATTTCCTTTACAGCACAGTAGGAAGTCTACAGTTTTTCAAGAAAAAACACATTCTCTAGTGAGCTCCAAATAAGAAAATGTCCTTTCTGATTCATTCATTCATTTTTCTGACTTGTTACACATCACCTCATCACTGACCTCAGAGACAAGCTTGGTACATTTACAAATGGACAGGTGTTCTTCCTCAGACCTGGCGCACCAATTACAAGGGAAGCTGGAGAATATAAAACCAAAGAACACAGGCAATAAATCCTCAACCTAGTTGCTCAGAATCTACTTAAGGTAAGCTGGTAAGTACTGGAAGAAGTCCAAGGTGCCCAAACACTTTCGCAGTTTTGCAGTATCATAGAATATTAGATCTCAAAGGGTAAGATGATAACCTAACACCCAAGTGTGAAGCACTCAAAGCAAATGTACAAGGTCTGGCTCTCTCATGGCCTGGCCTGTCCCAGTGGTGAGACTCACAGCATCCAAGAAGAGAGAGAAATGGCATATCTTTCAGGCAATTGCATACCTTTGACTATTAGATATTCATATATCTGTGGATATTATCCCTTTAGCCAGTTTTAAATATTAGGTATTAATTTTGTTCCTCTAAATGGCATTTTTGAAAATGATTGAGTAGCAGGGTCTTTAAGGTTAAAATTTTTATAGTAGGAAACCTGAGTATGGTGAGGCTATATTTCTAATTAAGGGCAGATCAATAGGTTTTTCAAATCAACTGAAACTAGTGGTTATCTTCTATGAGCACTGAAGAGCTGACCGAGGACTCGTGGCCACTGGACACCTGCATGGAGGACTGATAAAGTATTGTCATTGTGGAGGTCACCCTTCATGCTACCAGTTAAGCATCACTCTTGACATAGCATATTACTTTTTCTCTTAGAAAAAGAGAGAGTTCTAATAAATACTTGGTGATTTCTTTTTATTTTTCTCTAAAATGGATTGAAATGTCTCTGTTGTGTTATTTTAGTGTGTGTATGTGTGTGTGGTGGTGACTGAAGAAACTGAGCCCAGCTAGGTAACAGAGAGATTGAATTAGAAACAATTTCTTCATTCTGCTCTACATGATTTTAAGCAACTAGATGCTTCCATTAAAACCAGTGATTGAGATCAGAGGGAGCAAACAACTGATTGAATTTTCCACTTCCATCTAGTCACATGCTTCTGCTTGAAAAAGCTAACAGTAAATAGTACCAATTATCTCATATGCAAAATGGTACAAGTCTCAAGGTGCAATTTCAAAATTCCTTCTAAAGATAAGCCAGTGAGCAACAAAATCTACAAATTACTTGCTGCTAAAAGACAGACAAAAATTACATTTTCTTCCACGTGACATCCGACAGAGATCACTCAAATTCAAAATAAGACATCAGCTCTATGAAGTAACCAGATTATCCTAATTGTATAAGCCAAATGTTTGTCTATTGCATTATAGAAGCAAAACAGCAGGATTGTTGCTGTGCATGTTCATAGGTCAGGATGCAGTTCCTTGGAGATGTTGATGTGGAAATGTAATAATTTAAAAATCACAAAGGTTGTCTAATCTTTTACTGGAAAAAAAAAGGACAATACTTTGCACATATCTTCTCTACCATACCACTTCAGCTCTTAGATATATTTTAAATTTTATTCAAAATTATTTTGCATAATACTTTTTATAAATAGCACTCTATATATCGATAAAATAATAAAAAAGATTCAAGGTAATCATATACTACTGACCAGTTAAAGCTTCAAACAACCAAAGGAATTTCCTATCAAACACATAGAAGCTTTTGCTAACATTGTCCTTGTTTTCACAGAAATGCTATAAAAGCTATTCTAACAAATTCCCCTTTTTAACGTACAATTTGCCTCTACCCTGGTAAACATGAGCTTTCCCTGTTATGCTGCAACAACTAAAGGGCCAGTCTGCAAAAAGATTTCACAATAGTTAAGCAGATGTTTAAACATCTGTTTCTGAGTAAACAACAAAAAGTAAGCAGGCCCTTCAAAGAGGTGCCCCAAGTGAAATTCGTTTCCATCGTGCAACACTGCTTACTCTGTGTTGAGCAGTCAGTTATGCATGTTGGAAGGTGTGCCCAGAAGCCTGAAATAACTCAAAGGTGAGACAGGACTTGGCCACAAACAACAATGTTCATGATGACTGTGTAGGGCAACTGACCGTGCAGGACTCAGAGCATACTGCAGGTGGGTTAAGCCTTGTGTTTATGAGTATGACTTAGTAAACAAGAACCAGAGATTTTAGCACAGGCTAAGCAGGTGACATACAACATCAGGAGCAAGCAGAGTGAAGGAAGGAAAGCTGGCTTCCCTGGAGACAGCCTGAGAGCTGCTTGCCCGTCCCTGAGGAGGAGGCTGATGTAATGGTACATAACCTTCAGGTCACTGAGCTGCAGAGAACAGCCCAAGGGGCTCTTGGCAAAGACGATGTTGCTTTTGTCTGGTCTCATGTGGAAATATGTTAAGTGGGAAACCAGAGCTGAAATGGTGGCCTCCAGACAACCTGGGTTTTGTTATCTGCTGTAAGTGTGCTCTGGGTGTGGCCACGCCCAAGTCCCAGTCCTTCAGGGTCGCAGTGTGGGGCCAGTGTGGTGGATTATGGGACCTTTCATGGGGCCTTTGGGAAGACTCCAGGAAATAGCTCTGGATGGGGAGCTGGGAGTGTATCTCAGATTAGTGGTCACCTGTGAGCCAGACCTGACCTTGCCACATAAGTTCCATCTTCCACAGTCTTACCTCAGCCCTTCTTTCTCAACCCCTTGTCTCTGCAATCGGCCGGTCCCTTGAGTCCTTCCCAAGGTCATTCAAGTTCTTCTAAATTATCTTCCTGCCTCCAGTCTCTCATCTTTTCATTCCACCCTTCAAGAATTATTTTTTCAAGGTTACATTTGGTTTTTGAATACAAAAGTAATGCATGTCTATAACAGAAAAAATATTCAATAGAAAAAAACCTAAAAAAGCCAAAATCACTCATAATCCCACTTTTATCTTTTAATGGATATAAAATAAGTGAAAACCCTTTCCTTCTCTCCTTTATCTTTAGCACCTAGCTCTGTAGCCACCATCAAGAGATCATTTTATACTCTCAGATTTTATTCTATGCTTATAGGAATATATATTTTGTTGGTTTTTTTCTCAAGTGAAAATAGAATCAGGTTATGAATATGGTTTTGCAATGTGCTTTTTGTTTTACTTACAATGAGTATTTTTCCCAGTCAGTACATATGAATCTATAACTTCCTTTTTAATTGCAATATGAATTTTCTTTCCTAAATATTCTGTAATTGATGTAGCCATTTTCCTCTTAATTGAGAGTTCTCCCCTAATTTTTGGCTAGTAAACAACATTACAATGAGCATCCCTGGACATTTATTTTGTGTGTAATTAAGCTACTATTTATAAAGGATAGACCTCTAAAAATTTCCAGATCAAAGGTTATGCATATTTTAATTTTGATAGAAAATGTCAATTTGCCTTACTTAAAGCTATATCCATCCATATTCACTCCCATCGATACAATTATGAAAGTGCCCATTTTCCCTCACCAAAGGCATGTGTTATCAATCTACTGAAAAGCTGCCAATCAAGTGGGTGAATAAGATATCTTGTTATCATTTAATTTTCATTTACTTAATAATTACTGAAATGGATCATTTCTTCATAAGGTTATTGGGCATTTATATTCCCTCTTTCATTAATTTCCTCTCTGGGTTCTTTATCAGTTCTCCATTTGGCTGATTGTCTTTTTTCATAGCTATTAGTAGAATGTTAGTAAAATATTCTGAATCGTAACCTTTTGTCTTTATATGTGGCATATATTTTTCTCTGATTCTCTCACTTATCTTTTACCTTTACTTTTATCTTTTCAAATAATTTTTTTAATATGTTGATTTTCTTTATGGTTTGTAGGTTTATACCATACTGAGAAAGTCCTTCCTCATCCCACAATTATAAACCTATTTTTCCTTCCTTTATTCTAGCATTTTTGTAGCTTTTCTTCATGTCTAGATCTTTAATTATCTGGATTGTATTTTTGGGAAAAGTGTGGTATAGAGCCCTAACTAGATAACCAAGTATTTTAACATCATTTGGAATAACAATTTTCCCTATCACTTCTGAAATTCCGTAATTGTTATACTAAATTTCCAGATGTGTTAGTGGATGTTTTTAATATAGACAAAGTGTATGTGCATGTGTGTGCGTGTGTAGCTGCTACATATATACACATGTTTTAATATTTGGTAGGCAAATTTCCTATATTATAGATTTTATCCTAAAGGCAGCAATAATGAAATTATGCTCAAGAAATTGATGTATTTATAAAAAGTGATGCTATTCAAAAGCACACATACACACAGTGCTTTTTTAATCAGTTCTTTCAAATTATTGCAAAATATGTAGCTTAAATTAATGTGCAAATAGTATTGCAGAAAGCATTCCTTTTTAAACATTATCTCACAGTCTGGTTGGGGGGACAGAAAAACCTTTTTAAAAAAGCAGACAATTTTCTGTCATTTCTTTAAGCTGAGAGTAAATTATTGCTACCACATTTTACAGTTCATGTCATGACATAGCTTCAATTAGGAAACCATTTATCCTGTCCAGTGAGACAGAATAAATGGCTCGCAGTGGCAGTCCATTTTGCCATTGCCAGGTCTCTAGTCCAATGGAAACAGAATTTTTTCACAGATGGGTAGTTCCCAAGGGGCCAGGTCTCTGGAATCTTCCCTCAGAGTCTACATTTTAAAAAATTCTTATTTCAGCACAGAAGAAATGATTTTACACTAAACCCAATTCTTACTCTCATCAAAGTATGGAAAAGAAACTTTAAAAAATTATTCAGTAACCCAGAGCTAGCATGAAAGATATTATCAGTGAGGGGTTGCTAAAGGCATAAGGTACTAACAAACCCCACCCCTTCTTCAGCCCCACTGAATGTTCACTCCACCGTTGCTGAAGCCACAAGTATCGAAAAAAGGGGGTCATGGGAACAGGGTGGGGAAAAGACACCACAAGAACATATCTTCAACCCAGGAGGCAGGTCTTCCCAACTCCTCCATCCCTGCACCATTGTTTTGCATTGTAAACATCTTCACAAGGAGAGTAAATGGAAGTATATACAAACCGCTGAATTATTAATGTTCTTCACACTATGAAGCTAAGTGATGAAATGTTCCCTAAATTAGCATGGCATGAAGATGTAGATTTTGTCATCAACTAGGCTATCTTTGTAGCTGCTGAAGAACGTTCAGGCAAAGGCCATATATAGTGAAATATAGTCTGAGAAAAGGTCTTTTGCTATCTTGTTCTTAAAGAATGTAACATCAACTGAAATCAATGAATATCCTCCTCACCCCGATATAATGACATAGAGTAAGTGCTCCCAAGGGAGTATAGCATCTGTCTGCACACCTGAGCATCTGCTCTTTCAAATTGATAGAAATAATTAAGCCAAGAATAATCTGCATCTTGAGTATATAATTACTCTTCATCTTATCCAAGGATAAAAAACTAAGATCATGCCATTTTTATTAAACCTGCTTTCTTGTCTTTTAAAGATCGTATTGGCTAACTTGTTCTGTGCCCATGTCTATGTGTAATTGTCTTCATCCCTTCACTCTAGGGCCAGGACTATGCTTTATTCATTTTTATATCTCTTACAGGATATTGCCTTGCACACAGTAGGTGTTCAGTGGACACAGTAGGTGAATTACATGAAACATTAAATATTTTCTAGAATAGTCTGATCTAGGTGGGCACCTGGTCCAATCTGACTCACATAAAAAAGTCAGAACTCATTTGAAAATGTAATATTCACTGTAAAGTTTAAAGATATAACTACCAGATACTTAAAAATCATACAAAAAAACATAGAGTTTGTAGATATAAATTGTGAACTGGTTAATCTCAGATACTTTCACATTAATAACAACTCTTGTGTTATAAATCAAAAGAAGGAAATGCACATCTAACGCCTTAAACATAGACTTTGCTTGTTCCTCTACACATTAAGAATTTAATAGTTACCACACAAGATATAACTATATTTTTATATGCCTCTCAGAATTAAGCAGGAAGCAACACTTAAAACACTTCAAAGAAAGGTGACAAACTCCAGATCAATTAATCTGATATGGATATTCAGGTGGCCCTCTTTAGAACCACAACCATATCAGTTTTGTGGTTCTGAGCAGGTCTTTTGCCCTTCACAGGGTTCTGGCAAGGTTTGACAAGGCTTAGGGAGAATATAGGGTCCCAGACAAGAGGCTGAGGTTAAAAGCTTAACATCCATTGTGAAGGTGACAATGGAGTACAGAAAAGGAAGTCTGGCAAGAATTGTGTCCTAAAGTTGGAAAACACATTGAAGGAGTTGGGTTGGGGGGATAACTGTTGAAGGGGTGCTTATAGGGATATGCTACTCAATTTTATTCACTTCAGATTCCATCATCAGGTACGTGTGCTCCCAGTGATACACTGTTGCCTTGGACAGGATGCATTCAAAATCTGGGCAAGAGAGGGGCCTGGTATAAGGGGGCTCCTTTGTATCTGCAGCTGAATGGGACTGAGTGAGGCAGAAAGGGACCAGTGTTCTCTCCTGACTAACGCACTCATAACCAGTGACCCTTTCCTCAGCATTATTTACTGTTGTGTGAACTAGTTTAAACACAGTTACTCTGCCTTTAAAATATTTATTTTGAATGATAGTCAACAACACCATCATCTTTTAAAGATGGTAGAAGTTGATGAGTATTAACAAGGAGAATATGCAGAAATAGAAAAATGTTTTAAAAACATTTGTAAAACTGGTTTCATGCTTTTTAATACTACCACACTACAATGTGCATCAGATTCATAAACAAGTATATGAAATGGATATCAGTATAATACTTCTCCTTTGTGCCTAGTCTATGAAACTAACTTTCTGTGAGCTAATTAATCTATCTATCTATATATATATTTATACACACACACACATACACACACACACACACACATACACACACACATACACACACACACACACCAGTTTTTACATTTCATCCAATAAATTACCTGAGATAGGATAAAAAAGAGTCCATTTTATACTAAGGTTCCCTCCATCAATGATTGTAACTGAGTGCCATGAACTGGGATCCAGAACAAAGACCTTGGAACTGGGAATCAAAAATTAAAATCATGGTAAAACATCCTAGCTTAAGGCCAATGACTTGAATCAGGATATCCAGCAAGGTGAAGAGAGCAGTAAACAGGATGTGGAGAGGCAAAACAGCCAGGAGTAAATAGCCAGAAGAGGCAAAACTAGATTCAGAGCCTAAAATGGAGTAGAAGCCCAAAGAAGGAGCTCACATTAGAACACCAGGAAAACATAATAAAGTCAGTGTTAGATTAAGAAGGTCTTTGGGCTCTCATTCCTACTGAAAATTCTAAGGCTCTCAGTTCACAGATGAGAGATGGCTCAGAGGAACATGTAGGACAACAGATTATTCTCCTGAAAGAAAAATTAGAGAATAAAACACAAAAAGAAAAATCTATATATTTCAAATCATTTATAACCCTACCACCCAGAGATAGGCACTATTAACTTTCTGGTGTTAATCTTTCCTTACTAGAATTACTTTATGCTGCCTATATGCCTAGGTCATTCTAAATAAAATTACCCTATCCACACCCTCTACTATATGAAACTTACCACACCAGCCCATCACCCCAGCTGCCGGTAAACATCTCCTTAAAGGCACTAATCAACAGATTGTCCAGAAACAAATATAGACCAACAAAAGAAGTCAAGCAACAGACTCTGTCTTGCAAATTTAAACTAGAAACAGTTACCAGGAAGATCTGAAACCAAAAGGGCATGA